ATGCTAGAGGTGGGACTCTGAGCAAGTCACTACACCTTTCTAAGCCTCCATTTTTCAGCCTTAAAACCAGGGAAATGATAGCACCTGCCCTGTATCACTCTGTCAGAAGTAAGTGTCACAATCTGCGTAAAGCATAGAGTACAAAGTCAGTGCTGTTTTCATGGTACTTGGGATTTGCGGGGGGTTTTTTTGGGGGTCTTTTTTTTTTTTTTGAGATGGAATCTCATTCTGTCGCCCATGCAGGAGTGCAGTGGCGCGATCTCAGTTCACTGCAACCTCTGCCTCCCGGGTACAAGCAATTTTCCTGCCTCAGCCTCCTGAGTAGCTGGGACTACAGGCGCACACCGCCACACCTGGCTAATTTTTTCTATTTTAGTAGAGACGGGGGATTCGCCGTGTTGCCCAGGCTGGTCTTGAACTTCCGAGCTCAGGCACATTGCCCACCTCAGCCTCCCAAAGTTCTAGGATTACAGGTGTGAGCCACCATGCCCAGCCAGGATTTGTTTTAATGAGCTCTTAGAAGACACACAGATATGGAAGTGACTGTCAAAACGGAAGAAGTTTGTTACACAGCAATCCCCCCTTAGCCTCAGGGGATGCCTGAAACTGAGAACCCTGTAGGTACTGTTTTCTCCCATACATCTGGACCTGCGATAAAGCTGAACTTATAAATTAGGCAGCTTGAGAGATTAACAACAATAATAAGAATATAGAACAATTATAAAAATGAACCATAATAAAAGTTATATGAATGTGATCTCTCTCTCTCTTTTTGCTTCACTTCTCCCCTTTCTCTCTCAGAATATCTTAATATTCTTTTACTACAGTTGACACAAGTAACTGAAACAAGGAAAACAAAACAGTGAATCAGAGAGACTGCTGGACTCACAGATCCCTAGAGACAGGGCCCCTGCCATGCCGCAGAGGACACACGGGGAAGCGCTGGGATCGGTGAAGGGGAGAGGGAGGCAGGGAAACACTGCCAAGAGCCTCCGCCGTGTTTTCCACAGGAAGGAAGGCGCAGCAGGGGGAGCAGGATTAGGAGTGGCTAGTTTGAACCATCAGAGAGCACTGAGGGGTCAGGGCTGTTCTGATTGTCAGGTACCTGACCTTAGGGTGACTGGGGCAGGGGAATCGTGGCTGGAAGGGTAATGGCCTGATGAAAGAAGTGTCTTGGGTGGGGGCTCTGGCCAGTTGGATTCCATGTGGAAGGTGGCTGACAGCAGGTCGTTGCTCTATGTAGGAGTTACCCAGCCCTGCAACAGCAGCCCCTCCAGGGTCTGCAAAGCTCTAAGATGTCTGCATCCAAAATACAGGATAAAAAGATATGGTCAATATAGGTACTCATTAAGACTGGTAATCTGTTGTTCTCATCCTCATGCCGTCACAGAGTTCCCTTACAGCAGAGCTCACTGATGATTTTATATGGCTGCTTTGTTAACAGTATTGAACTTTATTCATAGTGGGTGGAAGTTAACTTAATGTGTGTGTGCGAACCAAAAAGTGGCATCCTTTTCACTAATGACCCAACCATTATTCAAGACCTGTGTCTAGTTCGGGATTTCAGACTTTTGAAAGAAATGAAGAAATAATGCCAGATATAGGGGTTCGCAGATTCCTGTCATCTCAGCTACCCGGGGAGCCGAGGTGGGAGGACCGCTTGAGCCCAGGAGCTTGAGACCAGCCCGGGCAGCATAGCGAAACCCTGCCTCAATTTTAAAAAAGAAAAAAAGAAGAAGCAGTGAAGAAACTGAAGGGGATTCTGAGAAGAAATACACAAGGTGGAAAAGAGCCTAGAAAGAAAGGTGACAGATGCTGGGATTTGGGCTTCAGAAGACACATATAGGAAATAGCATGGCAGCCCTCAATTACTAGCTCCACTTAAGGAAAAAAAAAGATCCTTCAGACCTTCGCCATATTCAGTGATCATACAAGAAACTCTAACAGGCTTAATGTGAAGCAAACAAAATTCAACTTCACCTAAAGGAAAAGCACATAAAGTTCTGATGTTAGGCATCCACAGTGATGCCTTTACACGAGGGCATGAATGGTGGGAGAGTCTCAAGAAAGAGATAAACAGCTTTCAGCTTGGACAGAGATTATGTGTCTCAGTGGAAAATGAATACCTAGACAGCTGACCTCTCTTTCTAAGGATTATCTGCCTCTGTGACCGTTCATACTTTCTTGAATTCTCTCTAGTAAGCCCCAAAGAAAGCTTCACTTCTCGCTTCCTTTTCACAGGAGAAACATACACACAAACAATGAAATAAAATAGAAAACACAGCCTTAGATATTTTCAGAAGAGAGAGATTGCTTTACAGAAGAGGCGGGACTTGATCGAGGGTAAAGTACAACAGAGAGACAGTCTGAGACGCTGGGCACCCAGCTTTGCCCATGTCAAGGTTAGCAAGCGGCTTGGCTGTAAGCAGAAGTGAGAAGTCAGGGTCTTGCCCTGTCCCATCCCAGGTTGGGTTTTCCAAAGAGCTGGAAACTGAGGTCATATACATCCACTTGGTCTACAAAGGCCCCCAGCCATTACAGAGGAAGGCAGGCGCACTTCTTCTGAAGCCGCCCGCATGCCTTCCCACCTGCCTATTGTAGGAAAAAAAAAAAAAAAAAGCACAGAGGAACAAAAAGAAAATTAATATCTGATTGGCCCCACCAACTACTGCCAACAATTTGGGGCATAATTTTCCAAAGCTGCTTTTATAGTAAATATATGGGTACAAAAAGAAAATTAATATCTGATTGGCCCCACCAACTACTGCCAACAATTTGGGGCATAATTTTCCAAAGCTGCTTTTATAGTAAATATATGGGTACCCTTTTTTCCCCAAAAAATTGGATTATACTATGTTTAGCTCTTTAGTTGCTTTTTTTAAAAAAAAAATCGTTGGTTTATTTTTATCACCTTTTTTATATCAATAATTATATTTCTGAAATACCATTTGTAGTGGTTGCTGAATTCCATTGTATGAATGTACAATATGACTCTTCTTTCGGTAATGTTGGGCAGTTAGTTCTCATCTTTCTACATTTTTCATATAATAGATAGTACTGTGAAGAAAGCCCTTATACAAAAATCTTTGTATCATTCTTAATATTTCTTTAAGGTGTATTCCTTAAAAGGTTAGCTCAGTAGGTAGGCTTTTAAAAATTTTTTGATAAAACTACCAAATTGACCTTCAGAAAACTCTCTTGGTGGGAGAGCACCCTTACCAATTTGCCTACCACTCTGTTAATTCTTTAGGATTTTACCTCTTCCCATTAGTATCACCTTCATTGGGGTCATCTATCTTCACCATTAAAGTTTGAAGATAATAATACTCACTTGTACCCTTCATGGCTTTGCTTCATGAAAATGACTCTACTTACCTTATTTTTTTTCCTGCATACATCCCTAGCTTGCAAAACGACTGAAAGATAAATCAGCAATAAAAAGATAACAAGGTGGCTCATGCCTATAATCCCAAGACTTTGGGAAGCTAAGGCGAGAGAATCACCTAAGGCCAGGAGTTCAAGACCAGCCTGGACAATACAGTGAGACCCTCGTCTCAACAACAAAACAACAAATATATATATAAACTAGCCAGGCATGGTGCACCTGTAGTCCCAGCCATTCAGGAGGCTGAGGCAGGAGGATGGCTTGAGCCCAGGAGTCCCTGTGATAGAGCAAGACCCTGCTCCCTCCCCTGAAAAAAGTCCCTATGTGTTTAGAAATTCAGAAATATGCTTCTAAATCACAATCTGGGCTAAAGAAGAAATTACTGAAAATTAGAACATGTTTTCACTGAATAAGAATGAAAATACTACATAGTAAAGCTTTTGGGTTGCTGTTAAAACATCACTAAAAGAAAACTTGACACTTTAAGAATAGATGGTGAAAATTAATCAGCTAAGAATACAGCTCAGGAAGTTAGCAAAAATTATAATAATAACAAAATTAAAGTATTGAGGTCAGTAGCTCTTTATCCATCTTTGTATTCCCTCTCATTTCCAAAACGGCACTTGACACATGAGAGGAACTTGATGAGCATTAGATTAGATTTGTGAAATCTTAAAGGCCGTAATTCTGAACATGTGGGCTTTCGAAACTGTCAGGGATAAGGAAATATTCCTACTCTCATTGAGCTGTCAAAATAATCCATCCAAGTGTTCTCTAATGCTTGCAACAGTAGGTTCAGACTTGGGGAATGAGAAACACCTAAAGAGCCACGTGTTGAAGTGGGCTAGTAGGGATTACCATGGTGTACTAGGCTCACAGTGCCCTAGGTTATGGTGTGGCTGCATTTCCCTTAACTTAGATATTCCAGGGAAGTGTTTTGTGTTTCTTTTACAAAAAAATCTATTAGAGATAAAGGCTAAAGGTAAGTCCCTTTGTATCATTCCATCAGGCACATTGCCTTTGATCATCAGAAGGCAAGAACAGGGACCTGGTCCTGTGCCTTTTACATGGGCAACCTTCTGTGGAAGTTAAAGAAAGTTTTGGCTAGGCGCGGTGGCTCACGCCTGTAATCCCAGCACTTTGGGAGGCCGAGGCGGGTGGATCACAAGGTCAAGAGATCGAGACCATCCTGGTCAGCATAGTGAAACCCCGTCTCTACTAAAAATACAAAAAATCAGCTGGGCATGGTGGTGTGTGCCTGTAATCCCAGCTACTCAGGAGGCTGAGGCAGGAGAATTGCCTGAGCCCAGGAGGCGGAGGTTGCGGTGAGCTGAGATCGCGCCATTGCACTCCAGCCTGGGCAACAAGAGCGAAACTCCGTCTCAAAAAAAAAAAAGAGAAAGTTTTGCATGTATAAGGGATGGAAGATTAGGCTTTGGGGATCAATTTTACTCAAGGAAAAAGAAGTGACTTTAATTTCATTAATGGTCTCCTGGATGATTCTGCTACAACTTTAATTCTCCATTAAATATTAATGTTGCTCCATGCCCAGCATCCTGCCTTTAGTTTCATTCCGCTCATACTGACACTAACCTGTTTTATAACTGAATCACAGGGCTTTTTCAGGAGAAGTCAGCAAAGCAATGCCACCTACTCCTGTCCTCGTCAGAAGAACTGTTTGATCGATCGAACCAGTAGAAACCGCTGCCAACACTGTCGATTACAGAAATGCCTTGCCGTAGGGATGTCTCGAGATGGTGAGCTCTCACAGCTTGAGCTGTACCGTTGCGCGGGCTTGTGAAAGTGCCTCCTGAAACCTGGACTCAGATCTGGCAACATCTGCCCCGCCTGCCCCTCCTCATTCTTCCACCTTACCGCCCCCCATGCTCCTCTGGCAGCTTTGTGGAACTCACAGCAACTGCTTCCTCCTTCTCGTCCTCAGAGTCGGTGGGCTTGCTGATGGGTGGGGTGGGGTGAAAGGGAAGTGTCTTGTGGTCAGAGCACCTTCAGATTTTTGGTATTGCAGCCTTTATAGGTGGGTTGATTGATGAACGGTAAGTGTCATCTGAGGGCCTTAATAAAAATGCCCCCTCTGGCCGGGCATGGTGGCTCATGCCTGTAATCCAAGCACTTTGGAGGCCAAGGCAGGCGGATCACCTGAGGTTGGGAGTTCAAGACCAGCCTGACCAACATGGTGAAACCCCGTCTTTTTAAAAAAAAAAAAAAAATGCCTCCTCTAGGCTTTGTCCCCTGTAGGAAACTCGAACCAGAATTGTTACTTGCTTTACACTAGTAAGTGTATTGGAGCTTGAAGTGAATCCGCTTTTATGCTAACTGGCTGTTTTGAATCACATGCCAAAGCCAAATATTTGTACATACAGAATGTGTGAAAATGGTGCAAAGCATGGCTCAACGACAAGCGTTCTTTTCATTAAAAGAAGCTACTTTAAGGAATAGAGGCTGTCTACCATTCGAGTACAAAACATTTCAAGATCTTCCTGGAAAACTATCTTAAGTGCACTGAATAATCAACACCAGATTTCAAGACAGTTATGCTTATACATGGAAACTGGGCAGAAAGCACAGCGGGTCCATTTTAAGGATTTTTCCAAATATACCAGCTGGCTCTCCTAAGAGATCCCTTTGAAGGAAAATGTCTCCTCCTATGGAATTTCAGCCTGTGGAAAAATACTTCAGAATGCAGAGCAGGCTTTCCAACAGTCTGCCTTCCCCATAATCTGATGTCCTTAGCGCCTGTAGACCTACATAGGCACAAGTTCACTTTTGTTCCTGCATATTCTAAGAGGCCACTCTGTGCACCGCTACAAAAGTGAAGCGTTTGTCACTGGAAGATACAAATCTGAGAGCTTCCACTCTATTCTCAGAAATTCCTGTGGCATGCAGCTCTGCAGATTTCATTTTCCAATGGTACTAAACTGATAAAGTTATATCTGTCTCATCAATTTGTAAGTTAAATCACAAGTTGTGTGTGTATTTTCTAAAGAGCTGGTCCCTCTATTTCACTTAAATGATATTATTACTGTTGTTAATATTAAGACAAAAGTTAAGTCATCATTGTGGAGTCACAGCAGAAAGAGTTTCACCTGTGGATATTAATCCACTTGGATGTCCTAGAAAATTTTTTTACAAAAAAATTAAGCACTTTCAGTATGCCTTTTGAAAATTTTGCATATAAGAAATAGCACAAGTTGTCATAGATATAGAATGAATTCTGGAGGCTATAAAATAATGGTTCTGAAATTCAGAGCCCACACCGGCCCGGTTCCTGCCTGAGCAGCCCCATTCAAGTTTGTTATGTGAGTTGTGGAAACTGGAAAGTGACCAGTATTCCAGCACTCTTGTTTATTCTGTGAACAGAGTCAGTGCATCCTCTTTAGCAAGAAAATAATTCACCATCTGGCCACCATGGGAGCCTTTGTTCCCAGCTTCGTGTCCATCTATCCTGCCTCCTTCTAGACTCTTAGAAATATGATGATAGTCAAATGGATGAATTCATCCACCCCATCAGCTATAAATTTAACCACAATCAATTAGGATAGCTAAGTCCCTCCAGCAAAGGCTGAGTCTACCTGAGAAATAAATGAAAGAATTCAGAACAAGAAATCATAGTTTTGCTTTTTTTTTTTTTTTTTTTTTAATTTTTTTTGTTTTTTTTTTTTTTTTTTTTTTTTCAATTATCTTGGTGTTTCACGAGAAGTCATTTGATAGTCTGAATGAACTGGAAAGTTACTGTAGTGATTGCTCCACTTTAAATATGGAGACATATCCCAAAGAGAAGCATTACAAACAGATCTGCCCAACAAGGATTATATATTATAAAGATCTCATATTATATTTGAGATCCTTATAATAATTTGTCCTTTCCAAATCCTGATGCTGTGACTACTTGAGAGCAAATGAGAACAGAAGAAAGTGTTGTTTAAAGATGGGTCTGGCTAGGTGTGGTAGCTCATGCTTGTAATCCCAGCACTTTGGGAGGATGAGGCTGGAGGACTGCTTGAGCTGTGGAGTTCCAGACCAGCCAGGGCAACAGAGTGAAACTGCATCTCTACAGAAATGAAAAAATTAGCCAGGTGTGGTGGTGTACACCTGTGGTCCCAGCTACTTAGGAGGCCAAGATAGGAGGATCACTTGAACCCAGGAAGTTGAGGCTGCAGTGAGCCATGTTCACACCTCTGTCTCTAAATAAATAAAAATAAAGATGGGTCTCAGGGTTCCACGGGGGCTGCCATGACCCATGAGTGGAGGAGGGGGCTTCTTAGGTCCAGTACTCTGATAGAAGTCAAAGAATTACAAAGGCCTCATCCAGTTCATTCCCACCTCACAATGAAGCTGCAGAGTTGGCCATTTATCAGGAAGTACCTCTTGGAGCATACAGGATGGTGAACTGAATGAATGCTGAGGTTGACAGCTTATTCCCCTAGGAACCCTGTGAGTCTTTGCATCCGTGCACCTTGGTCTGAACGTGACAGAGAAAGAGGTAGCCTAAGACAGCTGCACGGGTGGAGAGTGAACAAGTCCACTAAGTTTTGTCATCAGTCGGGCCCAGTGGGTCTGGGGGGGATGTGACAGCAGGAAAACAGAGGTGGCATCTCTCTGGGCCTCTCCTACCTGTACCTGGTCTCTTTCTGAAACATTCGTTTCTCTGCGATTTGTGTTTGCTGTTGGAGGGGCTGGAGCGAGCCTCTGTGGGTTGGAACCCTTTTCACCTCCGGGTATGTCCCTATTTTGTGGTCATGCAGTTTTGGATTGAGATTGTCTGAGACTTCAGAGGAGACCCCAAAGCACGCAGCAGAGAATATGGAAGGAAAGCGCATTGTAAATGGTATGCCTTGGCTTTTTTCTTCCAGCTGTAAAATTTGGCCGAATGTCGAAAAAGCAGAGAGACAGCTTGTATGCAGAAGTGCAGAAGCACCGGATGCAGCAGCAGCAGCGCGACCACCAGCAGCAGCCTGGAGAGGCGGAGCCGCTCACGCCCACCTACAACATCTCGGCCAACGGGCTGACGGAACTTCACGACGACCTCAGCAACTACATGGACGGGCACACCCCTGAGGGGAGCAAGGCAGACTCTGCCGTCAGCAGCTTCTACCTGGACATACAGCCTTCCCCAGACCAGTCAGGTCTTGATATCAATGGAATCAAACCAGAACCAATATGTGACTACACACCAGCATCAGGCTTCTTTCCCTACTGTTCGTTCACCAATGGAGAGACTTCCCCAACTGTGTCCATGGCAGAATTAGGTAATGGCTTGCATGCTTCCACTGGGATGCTCTGTTCATGCTCTTTGAAGTAAAAGGGGTGTGTCTGACTTTCCTCTCATGAGTTCTGTTATTTAAACGATACCACTCACCTTTGCCATTTGGGCCCCTTCATTTTGCACCCTGCCCCCTTGCTTTTCGCCCTCTGCTGTTTCCCACGGTTTTCCAGGACATGCATTGACGTCTCAGCATCCGAAATGGGACAAAACCGACGCCCACAATCTTTGAATTCTGCAGGAAACTGTAAGCTCAGGGAATGGCCACATCAACTTCGTTAGTGGTTTACTTTAGTTATATCCCAGGGACTGCTTTATATCTAAGGTGAACCAAAAAAAATGGCAGTCCACAAACCGAACTTGGCCCATAGGCATATTTATTTATTTTTTTTGACCAGTGCAGAGTTTAAAAACTTTTGAATAAGTTGCTAATATTTAAATTTGGATAATTACACCCAAAAGTTCAGCTTTTTTAGCTTCTTCTGGGAGGGGAAAAATAATCTATTTACACTGGGTCAACATTGATGAAGGTCACCAGCCAGCTGGCAGCAGCCAGGCCAGAGGCTTACAGCTTTCAATGGTCCATCCCACCCCTACGATTATATCATCTGCACAGCTCCCATAGGCATCTAAGTTTTGCAACTCTGATATATGCTATAAATGTTCAACAGAAATTAGCTTCTTTATTTATCAAAATGCTCTGATGTTGGATATTGGTGACAAAATTGATGTTTAAGTCTCACCCTGCAAAAAAAAAAAAAAAAAAAAAAAAAGCTGTCTTTTTCTTATTGCTGGGACATGACTGCTTCTTGGGAGGTGTGACCTAGAATGTTGATAAAACAGACAGCGGGCAACTTTCCATTTCAAGGAAATTGTGTTAACATCCTCTGCTATATTTAATCGATTTTTAAGTACAGCACTGTTATTAGAAAAACTTTGATAAGAACCTTTGTAGTTTTTGAATTTGATCTGCTCCTCCTGGTGGTTCCTCACACAAAGTTATAATCCTTTGGGATATATCAATTAGTTGCTGTAGAGAAGACTAAGTTAATACGAGGAGAGAATGAAGACTTCAGACAGAAAAGAACCAGCAGGTTCAGACTGAGCACAGAAATCCTCAGTTCACAGAAATAATGGCTGTGTTCTTTAGACGGTTTCTCTACCTCTGTATCCCATAAAACATTTTTTAAGTGAAAATTTATATTTCCAGTAAAATCTTTCTCCAAATAGAACAAATTGAATGTTCTTTATGGTTTTTACACAAGCATCTCTTTATGGGTCTAAATTTAAATCCTCAAGAGCAGGGACATTTTAAGCCTGGCCTGTAACCACTGAACAGCATTAAAAGGTGTATTGCAGCTCTTTTGATTAACAGAGAAACCTTTGAACTAGAAGCCAAGCTGAGCAGAGGTAGGTTGTTTCTTTTTTCTTTCTTGAACTAGAACAAAAACCTTCCATTTTCGTCATGAAATCTTGGTTGCCTGAGCCTTAAGCAGAACTGTAATGAAAGTGAAATTTTCAGAAATGAATAAGGATTTGATTGAAAGCTGACATGATACCATGAAAAATGACCTGACTCACTTCATGTTTGCTTCCATCTTACCATAAATACTAGTGACTCTGTCCTGTTTGCTTGTCAAATGTGCAATCCTGAAATAAATCCACAGACCTTCGGCAAAGCATTGCCCTTGAACACGGCACTTTGACTAAAAAAAATGCACCGATGCTGAAGTGGGACCCAAAATGGCTGAGCTGATTCCCTGAGGCTCCCAGACAAGTCAGCTTCCTCTTGCATGGGCTCACTTTGCAGTGCAATCTGGGAGCCCTGCATCCTCACGCTTGCTCTGTATGCTTTTAAATGACGGATTTGTCACAGGTGTTGTGGCATTTTCCAGAATAAATGAAATGAGATCATCAGTAGGAGAAGTCCCAAACCCAAAACTAAACTAGCATTTATCTGGAAAGGATATAATTGGGCTCTAATTGTCTTATCCCATTTATACCTGCAAAGTGTTTCGGGGAGCTAAGAGTTTCATGAAAGTGGCCCAAGTCTTGCTGCTGCTTCTCCAAAGCTACTTAAATTCCTCAGATGTTTCTTTTGGGGCGTAGGACCTGCTATCTCTTTAACTAAGACTCTGGACTTCATTTTAGGCTACACTTTGTCACTGAATTTTATATGAAACTAGTTGTATAATAGGAAAATAAATTATAAACCAACACATCCTAAGTCCAATTCTTTCTTTCAAGAGTGGTATGCACAACCCATTATTTTTAGTGGAAAATACGTTTTCATCCTTGGCTAGGAAATTCTGCCCTTGGTGTACAATTAGTATCTGAATTATACGTTCCAGATAAACAACCTAGGTTTTTTTTTTTTAAGTGCAAATTATGTTTGTTCCTATAATTGATATGTAAAGCTTTGCACAGGAGAGACGACTGATATCTTGGGCAAAGCATGAGACAAGAAATCTGCTCATATGGGTTGTGGTCCTAGCATTGATGTAAGTAGTACAATCCAGTGTAAGTCATGTAAGTAACATCTGCGAGCTGTAGTTTCTCTACTCCTAGAATATAGAGGTCTGTGTCTGAATCATAGCTCTGCCACTTGTCAACTGTGACACCTTGAAGAAGTCACTTGACCTCACTGTGGTTCAGTTTCCTCATCTGTGAAACAGAGATAATAGTAGTACCTTTCTCCTGGGGTTGTTTTAAGGATTAAGTGAGAAACCATATATATTTAGGATAGACACAAGTTATGTGGGGCTGGCACATAGTAAATGCTGTATGTGCTAACTGTTATAATTATTCATGTCATTATTATTTGTTAAACAAGGATAGTTTGGACCAGATGGTGTCTAAAGTTCCTTCCCATTATGAAAATCTGTGACTAACTCAGAAGCCAGGACTTCCCATCTGAAGCATCAGGGCGTTGGCTGCATTGCTGAAGCAGTCGTGGTTGGGACACGTGACTTGCCCCAGTCACAGAGTGAGGTAGATAGACTATCTGCTCAGCTCAGACAGAAGCCAGGTCTCCTAACTCTTAGCCCAGGGTATTTCACTACTCCAGACTTTCTCTGAGAGACCACTCTTAAATTCTCGACTTTTATTCAGCATGACCATACTCCCCTTTGCTGAAATGGAGATTTAAAAATAGCCAAGCGTCTAAAATCTTACACTTGCCAAATCGACTGTGAATTGGAATCAAAGGCAGTTGATGAGCAGATGGTGGGAATGCAACCACTGCCCTCTACTGGTATGTCTTGTACATTGCGTGATTTGTTGTGTCACTTCTTATTGGCTGCTTAAAATAGGTAGGGATACGTGGCCACAGTTTCTTAAGACAAAGTGAAACCACAAGGTGCGAAGCATCTTATTAACTAGAAATGAAGCATACATAACCGGGAAGGAAATGATATGAGCCTCTTATCCTTCACTCCACAGCATCCCTCCCCCCGATTCCCCAGGAAGACTCATCATTTTTTTATCAGAAAAATTGGTTTACATTATACAAACGATCTTACATGTAAGAGTTCTTTCCAGAAGAGGTAGTTCATTACCTTATGTCTGTATTTTCTCGTTTCTGACTCCGTATTATTTCTGTCTTCACTCCCCTCTTTGCAAGCGTCATTGATTGTAAGACACATCATTTACTGGCTTCTCCCTCTCACTCAGTTTCTCATTCTTTCCTTTACATTTGTTCTTTTATTTGTGTTTTATTTTTTATGTTGTTTGTACATGCTGTTTTAGTGTCCGCGTTGCCAAGTAGGGCCGTTCAGGTTTATTATGTTTCAGTGTCTCTAAGGAGATTCTGGTTTCAAGCTCCGTTTAGGTGAACCTGCTCTGTTTTCACACAAACAAGTCTGCTTCTGTTTGAGGAAAGCAGTAACAAATTTCCAAACAAGTAGACACTCTCCCTGGTGGCACCAGGTTTGCATTCAGCACCATTCTTTTAAAATGGTTTGCCTATTCTATACTCAAAACACTAGGGAGAGGGATCATTTTTTGATATGCTTTTATATTCATGGTGTTTCCTTAATTCCTTTAAAAAATACTTCTTTAATCGTCCTTCCCTTCCAGAACAATTACTACTAAGCTGCTCCAAATTGTTCGTTCCTGGAATCTAGATTCTAGCAGCCTTCTATGTGGTCCTCCTCCCCAAGCCTCTCTGTGCTCCAGTCCACGAAGCACAGAACTGCTTGTTCCATTTCCCCAGATAGAATTTCCTTCCTTCCTCCTTTCCTCCCTCCCTCCCTTTCTTCTCTTCTGTTCTCTTCTTCTTTTCTTTTCTTTCTGATGGAGTCTTGCTCTGTTGCCAAAGCTGGAGTGCAATGGTGCAATTTGTGCTCACTACAACCTCTGCCTTCTAGATTCAAGCCATTCTCCTGCTTCAGCCTCCGAGTAGCTGGGATTACAAGTACCCACCACCTTGCCCAGCTAATTTTTGTATTTGCAGTAGAGATGGGATTTCACCATGTTGGCCAGGCTGGTGTCGAACTCCTGACCTCAGGTGATCCACCTGCCTCAGCCTCCCAACGTCCTGGAAGTACAGGCGTGAGCCACCACACCCCTATCCCCAGATATAATTTTCATTATGACAACTCCTGAGAATCTTGCTGATTCTTTTTGTTGTATCAAGTCCAAAACTCAATCCTAACATTCAAGATCCTTCAGGATTTGGGCCCTGACCTACCTGTATTTCCATTTTGACACTATCACTTTATTATGTCTGCCTCCTCCCTATAAATCCCTTCATGTGCCCTCCCTTTTGTGTGGAGCTGGTCTACTGCCTGATGCCACTGACTCTGCTTACCTATCCTATCCATCCTTCAGGGTCCAATGCAAAAGTTCCTCTTATGCCAAGAAGCATCTCCTAATTCCATCAAGCCAACATTAATCTCTTTCTTTTCTTTGAGACTGAATCTCACTCTATCGTCCAGGCTGGAGAGCATTGGCACCAGCTCAGCTCACTGCAATCTGCCTCCCAGGTTCAAAGGATTCTCCTGTCTCAGCCTGAGCAGCTGGGATCATAGCCACCCACCACCACACTGGCTAAATTTTTTTTTGTATTTTTAATAGAGACAGGGTTTCACCAGGTTGGCCAGGCTGGTCTCAAACTCCTGACCTCAAGTGATCTGCCCACCTCAGCCTCCCAAAGTGCTGGGATTACAGGCATGAGCCACAGAACCCAGCCAATCTCTTCCTTTTCTGACAGCTTCAGTTACTTTTTTCTTTCTCTTCTGCTGTATTTCAACTTTATTATCTAATGTCTTGAATTGTCCTTCCAGTGTGTTCATATGTGTTCACCCGATTGCAAGTACCTAGAGAAAACTTCTTTGGCCTCTACATCTTTAACATTTTCAAACATCTTGCTCAATCATAATAATAACAACTAATATTCTGTAGTACATACTAAGTATTCCTCCCCATTCTAAGGGCTCAACTCATTTAATCCTCATGGTAGTCCTATGAAATAGGTACCATTTCCCTCATTTTACACACGAGGAAACCGAAACACAAAGAGGTTAGATAACATAACCTAGATCACACAGCTAGTAAGCAGCAGAGCTGAGATACGGACTCGAATGGCCTAGCTTCAGAATCTATGTCTTAACAGCTACAGTATGCATAGTTACATGCTAGGCCCTCAGTAACGCTTGTTCTGCAATTTGCAGAAAAAAACAAAACAAAAGAAAATGCCTAGTTGTCACCATAAAAGGATGTCATTCTCTAGTTTTTCAAGAATAGGAATAATCCTTCCCGGGTCAATGTTATGCGGCAGATGTGTCTTCATAAAAATGCCAAGAAGAAACACCACGTCAATCATTTCCTATGTCTATCTAGGTCAATATTTTTTCATTCCTAGATGTTGGTATAAAGGCACAGAACAAGAGCAAAGTCAGGAGGGTCTTTGAAGTCACCAAGTCTCATCTTCAAATGTTGCCTTTGCAAAGCCCCTATCCTCCTTCATCTTCCCAAATACAAGACGGTTCCAAATTACGTGTTTAAATGTGTAAAGATGGTCCAAACCTGCACAGCACATTGCTTTCTACTTGTTACTTTTTAAAGCAAATACTAAGTCACCAATTGTTTAAAGAATTTGGCTTCTCATGCTTGTGATCTCCTGTTTTCTCCTTAGAACACCTTGCACAGAATATATCGAAATCGCATCTGGAAACCTGCCAATACTTGAGAGAAGAGCTCCAGCAGATAACGTGGCAGACCTTTTTGCAGGAAGAAATTGAGAACTATCAAAACAAGGTATGATCTGAGGACTTTTTCCTCCTAGGATTGAGCCAATATTGGGAAAGGTATAGGTATAGGAAATTTGCTCAAGAGTTAAAACAGACCAAGGAGTGAGTGTCTCTCATCAGATAGCAAGTTTCTGTTTAAATATCTTTTCTCCAAAGCTGCTCATGTACTTGAAGCTTTGCCATTTTACTGAGATGTCTGCATGTACAATTTCAGCATAGCAAATAATTTCCATTGTGCTTTACAGGTATATACACGTCTCGTTCCATTTGTCAACAGGAGACTAGATTTAGCAGCTTCCAAAAGTCTAAATGAATTGAGATTTGTTTTAATATCACAATCAAAGATTTTAAGGTCTGGAAGTTCATGTAAAAGAATCTCAGACACATGTTTCTGGAAGTTGACATGGAGTTGTATATACAAAAAAAGTTTAGAAGCTATGATCATAACTCCAGTCTGAACCTAGCAATGTGAGGCTGACAAATAGTGCTCTACTTACCTTTTTCTATAAAACACTGAGATCAACAAGATTATCTAGGTGAATCCGCTTTACATATGAGGAAAACTAACGTCCGTTGACATGTCTGGGTAGTGAAACATCAAGACCGGACCTTGCCTCCTGGCTCCTAATTCGCTGTTTCTTCCACCCCATCATATTGGTGGAAACAGTCTGAAACTAAGATTAGGGAAACAAGTTAGCAATAAAACTGATCCAGATCATTCTGTAACTGAACTGGAGAGCACATAAATAAAAGGAATTTAACCAGATATGTTGAGGAATAGCAGCACATCACTTTGTTTGCCTTTGACGTAGCAGGTCATGCCAGCAGCCAAAGCTACAAAGGAGAAGCAAGAAAACAGTAAGAAGCAACAAGGTGTATGCAATGGGATTTTAGAGTCAGCGATGCTTGGATTTGAACCCCAGCTCCCCTATCTACTAGTTTTTTTGTTTTGTTTTGTTTTGTTTTGTTTTGTTTGTTTTGAGACAGAGTCTCAGCCTGTTGCCAAGCTGACACTTGCACTGGCATGATCTTGGCTCACTGCAACCTCTGCCTCCCCGGTTCAAGTGATTCTCCTGCCTCTGCCTCCCAAGTAGCTGGGACTGCAGGCATGTGCCACCATGCCTGGCTAATTTTTGAATTTTTAGTAGAAACGGGGTTTTACCATGTTGGCCAGGCTGGTCTTGAACTCCTGACCTCAAGTGATTCTCCCGCGTCGGCCTCCCAAAGTGCTGGGTTTCAGGCATGAGCCACCGTGCTCAGCTAGAAAAATAGTCTTTTGAACAGAAATTAAGACAAGGGTGTCATAAAACACCTAGCTCATAGTAGGTACACAATAAATTCAACTAATTCCCCCTTTTCTCCCTTTCCCACAGTAAAGTGTTGTTAAATTTCCCAAAGCAAAATAATTGCTTAAATGAACATCCAGGCCGGGCGCGGTAGCTCATGCTTATAATACCAGCACTTTGGAAGGCCCAGGCAGGTGGACACTTGAGGTCAGGAGTTCAAGATCAGCCTGGCCAACATGGTGAAACTCTACCTCTCCTAAAAATACGGAAATCAGTTGTCCATAGTGGCATGTGCCTTTAATCCTAGCTACTTAGGAGGCTGAGACAGGAGAATCACTTGAACCTGGGAGACGGAGGTTGCAGTGAGCCAATATCACGCCACTGCACTCCAGCCTGGGTGACAGAGCAAGACTCTATCTCAAAAAAAAAAAAAAGGGAAGAACCTACTTTGCCACTCTTCATGGCCGAGGGTCAAAGCAATGGCATGCTTTGCTTTTATGACTCTCCAGCTTCTGCTACAAAACCTAACATCTTCCTGGAGGATGTTAATATATTTCCCTCTTTAACAGCAGCGGGAGGTGATGTGGCAGTTGTGTGCCATCAAAATTACAGAAGCTATACAGTATGTGGTGGAGTTTGCCAAACGCATTGATGGATTTATGGAACTGTGTCAAAATGATCAAATTGTGCTTCTAAAAGCAGGTATGTGCTTTGTAAGTGAATTTTGAGATCTCTTCCTAACCTGCTTTCACCCACTTATTAAAGAAATGCTGGGTAAGGAAGGTGTCGGGAGCAGTTTCGATAATAGCTCAGGTTTTCCTTAGCAGAAACAGAGTTCTTCTGCAAGGTTTTGAGATACATGCAGGAAACATTCCCCCCGCTTTGCTTCTCTTCTGGGTGAAAAGATTAATTTGAAGGACACCCGCATTCCCACATTTTCCCGTCACCTGTTTTGTTTCTACACTCCAAGTCCTCTGAGTTGATGATGTCGTTAGGAAGAGGGACGTAGAACGCAGAAAGATATACTTGTGTTTGAGTCTTTGTTTTAGTACGTAGGAATAAATATTTTCCTAGCAACTCTGAGACTCCACATTGCAAGGAGGAAGAGTGCTAAGGAAGTAATTTATAAATCAACCCTCACTTCAAGTAAACAGGCCTTAGCTTCAACACAACAGTCTTTAACAACATAGAAAACCCTGCCCTTTTGGATAGACAGCTGATGTGACTGAGAACCCACTAGCTAATTGCACAGCACACCCACCAAGCTGTCTCAGGAGTCTCTTCCTGAGCACCTTAGAAACAAACTCGCTAGCATCGAATAACTGAAACCATTTCTGCCCCTGCCTAGGTTCTCTAGAGGTGGTGTTTATCAGAATGTGCCGTGCCTTTGACTCTCAAAACAACACCGTGTACTTTGATGGGAAGTATGCTAGCCCCGATGTCTTCAAATCCTTAGGTAAGGGGATACAAAGGTGCCTTTTCTTCAAATTGAGGCTATAGGAAAAGATGGGAGTGGAGCGAAAGATCTGCTTGGACAAAATAAAAACTGATTATTTAGAAACGGAAATTAAGGAGTTTTATACCTATTTTACTTTCTAGTTAATCACTGTATGAAAGTCATATAGCTCAAAAGTTTTTTGTCTACATTACATGTAAAGACCTAGAGTTTCATTTTATCTAGTTGGTAATCAAAGGGATTTAGATTGCATGTCCTTCCATTCTCTTTCAGATGTTAAGAAACCAGATTTGCTTGGGGTATATTATTCAGATAACCTTTAGGATGTCAGTTGATACATAAAATTAAGCAAAGGGCAAAAGCTCTGCCCTTCTATCCCCCTCAAACAGTAACCATTAATGAGACTGAAATGCAGATATCCAAGTAAAAGTTAAACCTAAGGGAAAACATAACACACAATTTGTAAATAAATAATTTTGGGCCAGGCACGGTGGCTCATGCCTGTAATCCCAGCACTTTGGGAGAGCGAGGCGGGTGGATCACCTGAGGTCAAGAATTTGAGACCAGCCTGGCCAACATGGTGAAGCCCCGTCTCTACTAGAAATACACAGATTAGCTGGGTGTGGTGGTACACGCCTGTAGTCCCAGCTCCTCAGGAGGCTGAGGCAGAAGAATCGCTTGAAACTGGGAGGTGGAGGTTTAAGTGAGCTGAGATAGTGCCACTGCACTGCAGCCTAGGTGACAGAGTGAGACTCTGTCTCAAAATAGTAGTAATAATAAACTTTGGATTTCTGTAATTTAAGTAAAATGAATATAGTTATTAAGAAGAATGGATAAACGAGATTTCTTAAAAAGCTGTATGACACAAGATATATATATATATAGCACATTGTCATTTAAATATATACATTTGCAAAAATACCCAATCTGAAGGAATAGACACCAAACTTAAGCAGTCTTTTGTGGAATGGATTATTATTTTAGGGGACTTTCACATTCTGTGTTTTCATGTTAGTAAATAGTTGTAATAGTTTACCACCAGAATGTGTCATTTGTTAACTTTTTTCTTCTTTTTTTTTTTTTGAGACGGAGTTTCGCTCTTGTTGCCCAGGCTGGAGTGCAATGGCGTGACCTCGGCTCACCGCAACCTCCGCCTCCCGGGTTCAGGCAATTCTCCAGCCTCAGCCTCCTGAGTAGCTGGGATTACAGGCACGCGCCACCAGGCCCGATAATTTTTTGTATTTTTAGTAGAGACGGGGTTTCACCATGTTGACCAGGATGGTCTCGATCTCTTGACCTCGTGATCCACCCGCCTCGGCCTCCCAGAGTGCTGGGATTACAGGCTTGAGCCACCGCACCCGGCCTCATTTGTTAACATTTTTAAGGATGTTTCAGGCCGGGCGCGGTGGCTCAAGCCTGTAATCCCAGCACTTTGGGAGGCCGAGGCGGGTGGATCACGAGGTCAAGAGATCGAGACCATCCTGGTCAACATGGTGAAACCCCGTCTCTACTAAAAATACAAAAAATTAGCTGGGCATGGTGGCGCGTGCCTGTAATCCCAGCTACTCAGGAGGCTGAGGCAGGAGAATTGCCTGATCCCGGGAGGCGGAGGTTGCGGTGAGCCGAGATCGCGCCATTGCACTCCAGTAATAAGAGTAACAAGAGTGAAACTCCGTCTCAAAAAAAAAAAAAAAAGGATGTTTCAGATGAAATAGAGTTGAAACAAAAATGAGTTAATTTATTATTAGCTTACAGCTATTAGACTCTGTAGGTTAAAAGTGCAGGCTCTGAAATCAGGCAGCGTTGCTTGGCTTCTCGGGCTGTACTTTCTACCTGCGTGACCACAGGTGTATTACTTTCCTCTCCAAGTCTCAGTTTCCTCACCTCTTATGTGGGGATAATAATAACCCCTCCTTCATAAAGCTGTTGTAAAATAAGAAGAAACCCAAAGAAATATCTCAGAGCAATACTTGTCATAGTCATCACACAACAAAAGTTCAGTCTCATTATTTTGAATGAGGATGACAGCGGTAATGGTGATGTGATAGAAGTGGTAGCAATGGTGGTGATGGCTAAACAGATTTTTCTTTTAAGATCGTAAGCTGTTAAACTGCAGAAATGTTACTACTATTCCTTCCAATCTTGAACCACTGGATCTCTCTTCACCTTCCCCCATGTTTTTCTCTTAAGACCACTTACGGGTCTTAGGAGAACCTTAGGAAAACCTAAGACCTAGGTTTTTCTCTTAAGACGGTAACCAAAATTCTAAACTGTCTTTATTTTAATTTTGGCAGGTTGTGAAGACTTTATTAGCTTTGTGTTTGAATTTGGAAAGAGTTTATGTTCTATGCACCTGACTGAAGATGAAATTGCATTATTTTCTGCATTCGTACTGATGTCAGCAGGTAAGATAACCAAATAAAAATGGTTTTAGAATTGTCTAAGATGAAGAATTTTTACAAGGTGCATACATTTAATAGCTATAAAATATGTGGGAGGTACTAAGAGAGGTCTCCACTGTTATTAAATCTAATTTTAAGTCTTCAAATGATACCCTCTCTTCTCCCTCCAATACAAACATATATTCTTTTAAGAAAACGTCACGCCTTTCAGATAAACAAAAGAAATGAGAATTGAATAAAACCCAGTCCAGGATTAACCTCCTGTTACGAGAGAAATGCTTTTGTAGAATAGGGTTGCCTTTCTTAATACGTGTCTCTGGAATAACATGGTTTTTGAGTCATCCTGTTTTTTGTTAAAATCCACGTAGATGTCATCCACTAGATTATCTGAATTTAATCTGTGTTTTCAACCAGCACTGCATGTTTGGGGATGATCACTTTTGCTTAGCCACTGCCTTCCATTTGGAAGACTTACACATAAGGACTTTATCCTCAATTAACAACCCTTAAGTCACTTGGAATCCTATTGACAATTTTGGTTCTCAAAGATTATAAGAAAACTTTCATATTTTTCAAAAAAGCTAGCAGGATTGATAATATTTCATTCCAAGTATAATTATTTGAAAATCCTGAGGGGCCATGGTGGTTTCATTTGCATTCATATGAGTATGGCCTCATATTTAATTGTTTATCCTTTGGAAGGGGAGGATCCTTCCTTCCTCTGAGTATTGGTAAAAATAGAAAGGATTAACACCCTGTTCTTTTCACTCCATTAGGAGAAATTTTCAAAGAGGAGTAAAACTGGCCTCTGTGTCTGTAAATATGCGTTGTGATACAATTATCTGTATCAAAAGAATCCAGAAAAAAGGGATCCTGACACCATGTGGGAGGAATGCTAAAGAATATCATTTTCTTATGTTTAGATCGCTCATGGCTGCAAGAAAAGGTAAAAATTGAAAAACTGCAACAGAAAATTCAGCTAGCTCTTCAACACGTCCTACAGAAGAATCACCGAGAAGATGGAATACTAACAAAGGTGAGAGCCAAAGGCATGGCCTGAATTACCCCGTAGCACAAATGATGCTGCCAGTGTGGTCATGTTAAGTCATATGACCAGTTCCCAGAAATACCAGAAAGCAACAGGCTACTAAAAAGAAATAATCTCCATTTGAAAAAAATTCTGTTGAGCGAAAACCCATTATTCAGTCTAAATTATATTTATTATCACTTGATTACAAAGTGTCCTGCAACAATAAGGCAATGTAGGGAAAAAGAAAGTTACATTCTAGAAATTATCCTCTTCCATCAAAGTTGGGCATAAAGCAGAGTTAATGTTCCACACCGAAATAAATTAGAAAAATAGTCTTTGAATTTATTTATTTATTTGTTTTTTAGAGACAACGTCTTACTCTGTCTCCCAGGCTGGAGTGCATAGCTCTCTGCAACATTGAACTTCTGGGCTCAAAAGTTCCTCCTGTCTGAGCTTCCTGAGTAGCTGAGACCACAGGCACATGTGCTACCATACTTGGCTAATTTTTTTTTTATTAGTTTTTTTAGAGATGTTTTTGTAGTTTTTTTTTAAAATGAGTTTTGTAGTTTTTGTGTTGCCCAGGCTGGTCTCAAACTCCTGGCCTCAAGCGATCCTCCATCCTCTGCTGAGATTATAGGAGTGAGCAACTGTGCCCAGCCTAGAATCTTTCAATTTAGAAGGAGGTTACAAAGGACTAAAAGACTTAATCAGAATGACTCTATATGATAATATTAGTTCTACTTCCATTAAATTCATTAGTCATCAACAGTAAATGACTTTTGCATGGTCATCACTTTCCCATCACTACTCTGTATTCACAGCATAAGGTTTCATTTTTACCAATCATTATCTTTCACAATAAAAGTATAATTGTAATGCCAATTTTTAAAAATGTGCTAATACCCTTCAGTGCCATTGCTAGTAATATGTATTTGGTCTTAGAAAAATCAGCCGTATTCTTTCTTATTTTATGTGTTTTATTGTGTGAGATGATATGAGAGGTTTTTGGTTTTGTTTTCTTGTTTGTTTATTTGTTTGCTTGTTTTTTCTCCTAATAGCTAGGTTATATCAGAAAGGGGTAACTGGGGATTAATTGCTGTTTTTGCTTTTCATTGCCAACCTGTCAGGTCAGAAAAGGGTAACCGGGGGTTAATTGCTCTTTTGCTTTTGATTTTGCACCTGTTAAATAAGCAAATGGGGCACTAATGGGAAGTAGAAGGGAGGAACCCTGTCAGGAACTTCACTCTCTTCTCCATCGTTTTGCCCAAATGCAAGGGTACCATTAGGATCTTTGATGATAAACAGCACTTAACATGTGGACAAGATCTGGTGAAAACATTTCCTAGAGAAGATTATTTTGTGTTAAAATAATAAGCAGGTTGCCTTTGTGAGGGGATTTGAAATTTAAAAGCAATTTTGCAAATTGTGTCATTACCTTCAGCTGGTAAATGATCAATGGTGGTACCTCCATCCAGGCCTTCTGACCCTATTCTTGTGCTCAGACCCAGAATTGCTTTGTTATAGGCAAAACTCATGATCGAAGAGAAACTGATTGTTAGAGTTGACTAGTGTCAGTTCTGCATAAAATGTATAGGGGATGCCATCATCTCCAGTGGCAGTGTCCTCACTACCCAGCACTGTCCCTCACCCACTTCTCTGTCACCAGACCTCTTCTTTTTGCACAGTGATGGAGGGCAGGGTTTCAGGAAGTAGATCAGAAGCCATCTTTGAGTAGGAGGGGGAGTCAAAAGCCTTGGGTTCTGTCTCTAATCAGCCGCTAACAAGCTGTGCCAACTTTTGCGTATGAACACTTTTTCTAGTTATTATTCAGCTTGAAAATCATATTTAGTGTATACTTGGCATTCTGTGACATGACTGTATCATCATTTATTTTTTATTTTTTTGAGACGGCCTCTTGTTCTGTTGCCCAGGCTAGAGTGGTGGTGCCATCTCGGCTCACTGCAACCTTTGCCTCCGAGGTTCTAGCAGTTCTCCTGCCTCAGCCTCTCCAGTAGTTGGGATTGCAGGCGCACACTGCCACACCCAGCTAATTTGTTGCATTTTAGTAGAGATGGGGTTTCACCATGTTGCCTAGGATGGTCTTGATCTCCTGAGCTCAGGCAATCCACCTGCCTTGGCCTCCCAAAGTGCAAGGATTACAGGTGTGAGCCACGGGGCGTGGCCATCATTAAGTTACTTTAAGTGTGTTAGACCATTATAAATAGTGTCGTAAAGATCATTCAAATTCCCTAATCTTTGATGCTCATGCCTGTTCATGACAGTGTGTCCTTTCTTCCATTTACAGTTAATATGCAAGGTGTCTACATTAAGAGCCTTATGTGGACGACATACAGAAAAGCTAATGGCATTTAAAGCAATATACCCAGACATTGTGCGACTTCATTTTCCTCCATTATACAAGGAGTTGTTCACTTCAGAATTTGAGCCAGCAATGCAAATTGATGGGTAAATGTATCACCTAAGCACTTCTAGAATGTCTGAAGTACAAACATGAAAAACAAACAAAAAAATTAACCAAGACACTTTATATGGCCCTGCACAGACCTGGAGCGCCACACACTGCACATCTTTTGGTGATCGGGGTCAGGCAAAGGAGGGGAAACAATGAAAACAAATAAAAGTTGAACTTGTTTTTCTCATGCATATGATTTCCATTATGCCTACAGATATGGACCCTTTTTCTGTCTTGACTTCTTGATCGTTGACCTCTGTTTACAACAGGAGGGTACTAAAGTCGGAGGATTTCCTTTTCTTGTAGCTCACTGCCCACAGACTTTCCTCAGAGTCACCAATCTGTCAGTAACAACAGAGAGTCCAGCAATAATCGGCGACTGGTGTGCATAGCGGAGGTTGCGGCATTACTTTGCACAACTGGCTCTTTGTTTCATGAAGGAAGTTTTTATTTTTTCGCCGATTATTGCCAGTCTGCAGGATGGCATGAAAAGGGTCCATAGCAGTAGCAACAATAGCATTATAATATATTACAGGGTAAATGGGCATGAAGACTATATATAGCTAAAAGAGATATTGTTTATATATTGTTTTAATTAATATAAAATGTAGTTACTGGTGTAGCTTTTCCTGTTGAATTGATAAGGCACTTTCATTTTGCACCTTTTTCTTTAAATTAAATGCTAGCGTGTTCACTGTCGTGTCGCATGTGCACCAGAAACACAAGTTTAACCGAGAAGGCTTGGAAGGTACGTTGGGAGGTATTTATGCTGCTGTTTACAAAATTACTTTTAAAATACTGGCTGGTCATATCTAGAAATCACCACGTTGGATTTTTTTTTTAACATGTGAATTTGGAATTAGAAACGGAATTCTCCCTAAATTATACTTCGCTTTTTGGTAAGTTTAATGATAGATGTGTTTATGCTTCATACAAAGTTGAATGATCATTGTGGACATATACCATCATGCTCATTTTTTTTAAAGCTTTTTAAAATGCCACCTCATGGAGGCGAGGGAGGGAAGCTCATTTTACACAATTCAGTAGTTAAATACGGACTTGGTCTCATCTTGCAACTCTTAGGCTTTGAGAACAAATCAAAAACCAGAATATTTATTGGAATCTAGCTTTTATTATAAGAAGGACCCAAAGATTATATCTGGAGCAAACACACACTCCCCATGTGAGGACATGAAGCATTTGCTTTGTGAATGTTTATGTTCTTGGTATAATCTAGGAACTCTATGAGTTTATCTCAGAGTGAACTACTTCTAGATTTGTTGTCAATAGATGCTATAATTCAAGAATGTTGCTCTCCATATTTGAAAAACGACGGATAGGAGGGCCAGGGGAGCATACAATGTTGAACCAGTTTCTCTTATTTAAATATTAAATACTTTAAGCCTTTAAAGTGAAGTTGATGCTGGCTGCAAACATTTACTCTTGTATTTATCTTCACTAGGAAACTGTGGACTGTAATTTATTTTATTAAATATTTAGAAGATTATTTGGCTGGTGTGTTCAGGTGAGAAATACTGAGTTGTTTCTGTTTAATTTCATGTTTTTTTTTTTTTTTTTTAAATAATCCCTAGTGTGGGCAGGGGAAAAGAATAGTCTGATAAACAGGTATGCATATTTTAAAAACAAGTGACCTTTTGAGAATGTAGGCATTTAGACGATGATTTTAGTCGCACTAGAGTGGGATTCAAACTACGGGTCAAAGACCATTTTGTACAGAAAAGGGAACGTCTCCCATGGATGTTAAGGTAGGAGTTTCCACACAGCCCTTTCTGTCCAAGAAATAGTCTCCTCTGCCACTGGTGTCCCTGTGGAATCTTCCACAGGAATTACAGCTTCTCACATCATGCTGGGTTACCAGCATGGGCTTCCCAGAGCACTTCACTCTGTTTCTAACGCCACTGACTTTTCTGACTTGTTTCCTGAGGGACTTGGAAAACGGGAAGTTATTATTCACACAGATGTGTGTATGAAGCCTAAATAACATCCAACTTTTTTTTTTCACAAACATAATAAGGGTTTAACCATAAATAGAAGACAAGAGTAATAGTCCTTTAAATTTCTTACAGGCATGTAAAATTTTATGTGTTTATAGAAAGAGGCTACCTGTCAGCATATAGTATTTATATGGGGCAAGAAGGGTTAAATCAAATCTTTAATTTAAGTAAGCATAGTTCCTTTAAAGATCAATAGTATTTATACTCTAAAAAGAGTACCAAGCTTAGTTCAGTTATTTATTTGTCCTTTTTTTTCCTGTTGTTTCTCCTTTGGGAGGAAATGGTGTTTTGTTTTTGTTTGGGTTTTGCTTTTTTGGTTTTTTTTTGTTTTGTTTTAGTTTTGTTTTGTTTTGTTTTTTGTCATTCAGATCCACTAAATTTGGGGATGGTTTTATTAAAGTATATTAACTTCTTTTTAACCAAAGCTTTCTGAATATGACCAGCCTCAGGTACTAGCACATTAAAGAGCAACTAAACCTAATTCCAGTGTCCGTTTGTGAAATAATAAGAACAAATTGAATTTCTCAAGGGTGAGAGAGAACATAATGTTGAACTTAAAAGAAATTCCTTTTCTCAGTAAGGATTCTGCATGTACCTAGTGCAAAACAAAACAAAACAAAAACAGACAAGAAAACTAATGCTCTAACCTCAGTAATAGTCATGCCATGGTGACATTGCTTTTATGGTAAACCATGATAGCATAACATGATGCTTCTTCCCAGGTGTTTCTGAAAGAAAAGCACGGGTGGAGCTTAAAAGCCAAGTCCAATGATTGACAGAGTAGGATGAAATAGTAGACAGAGACATGCTCCGTGAAACAAGGAAACAACTGACTACTATTTGGATCTAAGTTAGGATCTGATGTTAAACAATAAATTCAGTTAGAAAAAAATACGGAGCTCAGAAAAGGATGTGAAAAACTTTGCATTTTCCTTTCTTCATGATTATAAAAACACCTATGTGATGACATAAAATACTTGGGTGATATCAGAACAGTCATCCTTAATAGTTCTTCTAATTAAAGCTTCCTAAACTTCAACATCCAGTAGTCTTTTAAGGACTGGAACCACATCACTGTCAGCCTTGCTGCTACAATGGCTTTATAATAATTTTTTTTTACATAAGGCAAATAAGGCTTTTGTACAAAGCCTGAATACCTTCTGTTCCAATGGTGTCCAAATGGTTATTATATTGTGAAAAACCTGGCCTTGGTCACAATGCAAACAAAGGTACAGATGAAAGTGCTTTTTGGACAGTTTGCAAATTGTGTTAAAGCTATGGATTTTTTTTAAGTGTTCAGCATCTTACTTTGTATTAAAGCTATGGATTTTTTTTTTTTAAGTCTTCAGCATCCTAATTCACCCTTTCTAACTTAAGAAAAACATGACTTAAGACACTGCTTCTAAGTTTGGTTGTTCTTTATTGTGTAGATACCCAGTTATCTGTGAGCGTATGGGGGTGGGCTGAGGGTCAGGTGAGGAAGGAGCGTGTGTGTGTGTGTGTGTGTGTGTGTGTGTGTGTGTGAGTGAGATTTGCACGTGTATGATGTGTGTGTGTCGGACCGCTTCTAGGCTACTAAGTGTCAATGGAAAAGAAAATGTATTCAAAATACTTAAATCAAAACTAAGAAGATGGGAAAAAAAAAGATTTATTCTATACAAAGCCTTGTCTGGACCACTTTAGAGAGACTTCTATTTTTTTAACCCTTCTATAAATATTTGATGGCACTTGAAATATTCCTGCAATAAAATGTGATTTGTGTAAAGAAAAAAAGATTTTGTAATGTGAAACAAAGAAAGAAAGTAATGTAATTTTCTAAAAAAAAAAATACAAACAAACAAACTTTGTATTATTTTCTTGATGGAATTTGTCTATCTGTCTTTGGAAAACTTTTTATTTCATTGAATGTGCCATAGTAGAAATGTGTGTTTTTAGTTTTAGACTAAGGAATAGCTAGCTGTTGTGTTCCGACATTCCAAAATGCAAAACAACCTAGTAGTATCTTTCATGAAAAGGTTTTAGTAGTATGTAAGCTTCTCTCATTGTTGCTTTTTTGCACATGTTCTTCATTCCTCTCTAGTGCAATATGTACATAGAGCACTTGCGGGTGTACCTTGATCCCTCAGGGAAAAATACATATTTGTACAGTTTTTTGGGTTTTTTTTTTTGTTTTGTGGGTTTTTTGTTTTGTTTTGTTTTGCCTTTTGTTTTTGGCTAAGGAATGTCGATCGAATCACTTGTTATTGTTGAGGGGCAGCCAGATAATAATCCTAAAGCCACTGTTTCAAACATTGATTGTTTAAATCATATGTCCTTCCAATGCTATTATTTTAAGATAGTAATAAAAAGTTATTTTTCTGATAGTTCTTTGTGCTGATTGGTGAAAAACAAGGGTAAATAAGCACCTTATGATTGACTTACTGTGAATGACAATCCATCTTGATATCAACGATAGAAGCCCTATCATTTTGGAGTTGGGGTTAAGAGTCAGAAACAATGTGCTCAGGGATCTCCTAAAACTCTTAAACAGGGTGGCCAGTACTACTGGGACAAATTGTGTTTTTTATTATTAATAATAATGATAATACTATCCCTCCAAGGCACAAGTGAACTATATAGAACTGCGTGTGTGTAAACTCTTTACTCTCATCTCATTTTGTTGAGTTCAGAACTTGATGTGCTCTTCAGTCTTGTGTTTCAAAACGCTGAATAACTTCCAAAGCAAAGTTATGCCAGTGTGTTTAAAAGATAAATTAATAGGTAATGTACCAGCAAAGAGCATCATTCAAAGTATAGTCCTTGCGTATTCCAATTACCGTTTCTCTAATTAAAATACTCATGAAAAAAAATGTAGCATCATATGTTTAAAACTCTTTCAAATTCTACATATTAAGGATAAAAATTTTAAAAATCAGTACAGCTATTTAGATAAAAGATAAAATATGTTTTAAAAATACCAGCAATTAACTACTGTTATCATGTGTTCTCCTCTAGAAGCAAACCAAAAATTCCTTCATGGAAAACAGTTCTTCTGCTTTGTAGTTTAGAGCCGATGCATTACACGAGCTAATGTTTAAAGACAAAACAAAACCTGCCTGTATGACAGCAGCAACTCAAGCCAACATTAGTGTTACATGTTATATGTTTGAAATACAGTTTTGCTACCATATTCCACATATTGTTTTCCATGAAGTCAGAGAAGTTCAGTGTAACTGTTGGCTCTGATTCTTTCACCTTGGGATACAAATTCACAAGAAGATTTATATATTTTCTTTCTATAACAGAGGAGCATAATGTGGGAAAACTTCCCATGCCTGTAAGTTGAAAAGGATACCTTTACCATGTTGCTTTTGATAATAAAGAATATGGAACATGGTAGAAATCTCTCCTCTGGGTGTGTGTGTGTATTGGTATATTTGTGTGTATACCCACACACATTACTGACATTTTTATATAACGTGTGATTGCCACTTCTTATAAAGTTATGATATGGAACCCCATGAAAATAACTTTATACTGTAGATCAAATAATGTGCCCAGAAATGGAACTGCAATAGTAAATCTTGATCTATTGGTAATATTCTATGACACAGGTCTTCATTCTGTCTGTAAACATAATAAAGAGGTTCCACCAGATTTTATTATAGAGACCTTCCTATTACTATTTATTTTTAAGAGATGAGAAGACTGACTAGCAATGTCTCCACTGTGCAACTGGTTTCACTTCTGGGTCTGTTTGTTTATTTGTGTAGGTGAGATCAGTGTTGTCAGGCTGCCAGAATAATTTTTATAAGAATCCAGAAGCCTGACTTCATACCAAGGAGCCATCCTAGATGGGCGGGAAGGATCTCCATGTTCAACCAAACCCTCAGAACTTAGAGCAATAAATACATTCAGTCATTTATTTATGAATGAATGACAGAATATTCAGTCCAAATAGAAACAGCCTTTTTCAGTGATGCAACATAACATGGAGTCTTTTATTGAGAAAGTGAATATGAACATTTTAAATAGATGCCTAGAAAATCTGTTTGCTGTTTACATTTAGTGTACACATTAGCAGTACCACACTTCTTTTTCTTTCATGCTTCTAAGAACTAATGAAAGATAGCTTGCTATTAGCTTTGTCATGCTGCACATGCCATTATGTTGTTCTCCAAGAGCAGCTAAATTCTCTCCAGAGTTCATGTGTGATTCCTTTTTCAACAATATTACTTTAATGTGGATGAATACTATTTCTAGGAACTTGATTATCATTGAAAAGATTGCATATGTAAATGCAGATAATTCTTGAGCAATATAGTGAAAATGATTTCACAAAAAAAAAAAAAAATCTGTATGTACTGTATACATCTTCCTGCATCCAAAATTCTCTTCTTATCCACAGTTTGAAATCTCATATTAAACAGTGGTAAATTTTTAAACATTAGGACATTAGCTGGCTGCTTCTTTAAATGTACATGTATTGTCTGCCTGCTCCTTTTGTGGAGATGTGTTTTTGTATTGGATGTTTGGGCCAATGGGAGGCTTCAAGCTACAACATATTTTCCCAGTTTAAATAATATTTAACATATGACAAACCCCAGACAAGGCTTTTAATATGTATAAAGAACTGCAGTGTTAGGTGGTTTATTTGCAAACCGTTTTCAATGTTGTCCATTTTTATGGCACCTTTAACAATATTCTTGTTTCCAAAGTACAAAAAAAAAAATAGGTTAAATAATCTAGCCATAACTGAATGTCAAGCAATAAAACAAATGACTTTTGTGCATAGACTTAAAAAATACAAATTTTAGACATCTGCATGTAAATGCAATCTCTTGTTTACTGCTTTCTTCAACTTGAGCAATCGATTCCTTATTTACTATTAACTTAAGAACTTGTAATGGCCTGTAAACATTTTCTCTCTTACTCTTCTTTCAAATTTACCTGTCCCTGCTTTTGAGTCATATTTAATGTTGTTCTGCACATCTCTATACAGTTAACTTTTTGGCTTTCATTCTGTATAGATAAGAAAATGTTATATTATAAACAGCCTACTCAGTGCAAATATTTATCTGTTTATCAAATCCACAATATGCTGTATAATACCGGTTTTACTATATAATCTATTTTAGACATAGCTGTTTAGAACTAGAGTGTGCTATTTTTGTGTTTTTCTGATGTGTGGTGCTAGACAAGTTACTTTTGTGAACAACAACAAAAAATCCCTTTTATTCCTAGACAATACCACCTTTGGGTCTTGTTAATTTCACTGAGTATAACTATATATTTGTATATATATACATATATATATATATATATCTACCTACGCCCAACTGGCAGCTGTATCAGAGTGCTGGATTTGGGACATGCTTTTCTCTTTAAATACATAATATCGTTATATAAATTATTCTAGAGTGTATTTAATTAGGATAAAATTACTTCCTTAGTATGGATATTTGACATCTATAGGGTGAATTTGTTTATAAATACGGCTATATGGAAACTTACTAGCATTTACTTTATGTTTGCGACTTGGCTTTATAGCATATCTCCTAAGCTGAAAAATAATTTTGCCAGGCCTTCAAGATCCTAAAGAAACTTGTTTAATGGAGTAATACACTTTTTTTTCTTATTAAGGAATTATATTATTGGCACCTAACAGAGTTGTATACTTAGCTCCTATTATAGATAACAGGCATTTATATAAAATATCCTAGGTGGCTTGATGGCAGAATAAACCTTTCCCCTCCTACCTGAGTGATGAGAAGGATGGAGACATCCTCTGCCAGAACATGGGCCATAAAGCAAATTCGACAAGGGATGTTCTGTTTCAATATGACCTCAACCAGTTCCATGAACTGAGTGAAGGACCTTCATTTTTAAAGTTATTTAATAATAAGCTTACTTAAACCTTTTTACCCATTCTCCCAAGATCTATTGGCATTATTGAAAAGCAAAGTATATCAAATATCTAACTAAGGATGTAGTTAACCTTATTAAATATTGATTAGAATTGTTCTGTAATATTACTGAATTTGTAAGATCTTTAGCAAAGATTTTTGAGCAATTTATAAATGTAGAGCAAATGTTTCTGTTTACTGCACTTTTTGTAATTGAAGGTGATAAATTCTCAAGCCATGATTATTGGCTTCCATGCACTGCATATTTACCCACAATTCTAGACATTTTCCATTTTTGTGGAAGAGTTGCTGTTACCTTAATTATAAATGCAATTGTGTGGTTAATGAGAGCTAATGCTAATAGTTAACCTTTTAAAGTGGATTGGCCACAGTTTAGGGAGAAATCTCTTTTAATATAAATCACATCATTCCTTAACGGCCTCGCTTGGAAAGAGATTGAAACCTTTTTTTTTTTTTTTAAAGCCCCATTTAGCATCCTAAGCTTCCTGAGGGTAGAGATTGTATATATCTCTTTGCGTCTGCACAAAGGCCAGCACATGTCAGCATTTGACAATGGTTACATGATAACAAGTGTGCCCCATTAAAACTTTTTTTCCTGGGTTGTTTTGTTAAATTTATAAAGTAAGGCAAGCCTTATGGTTAATATTTTCTTCTACAACCAACTATTTAAGCCACATTTAAAAAGACCACATGAAATGCTGATTCTAATTGTGTGTAGGTCTTGAGGATTAAGCACACAAATTTCACAAACCTCTGTGAGTAACAAACTCAGCCTTCTGTAAATATACATGCGAGTTTGGAAACGGTAATACTGTACCTATAAATATATGCTGTCTGTTTTGTGTACAGTATGTAAAAACTCCTTTTCTGCCACACTAAAAATGCAAGCCATTTATGGGAATCCTAAAACTAGCATTGAACTAAAACTTTGCTAATGATCTTTATTAGAGGATCATCCAACTTTTCACTTACATTCGGTTTTCTTTTCAATTCACTCTTACAGTAGTCTGCTTATTCCCAGCTGTTTATTTTATTGAGTCCTGAATTTAAAAAAAATATTTTGATTCATTTTGTAAATACAAGCTGTACAAAAAAGAGAGATTTAATGTTGTCTTTTAAATACTCCAATTTTCATTCTAATATGAATGTTGTTATATTGTACTTAGAAACTGTACCTTTAATATTACATTACCTTTATTAAAAGTGCATTGAACACATCAATTTTAGATGTGCTTTATGTACTGTTATCCTATAATAAAACTTCAGCTTCTAATGGAACACTTGCCTTGTTTTTCTTTTTTCTTGTTTAATGAGTTGTGCTGTACATAGTTTCCTAGCTTACATCTTGTCTCTAGTGAAGGATCTAGAAGCTTAGTAAATGTGGTCCACAGATATACAGCATCAGTTGCCACTTTGTTGGAACTACTGAGTCCCAAGCACCACCGAGACCTACTAAATCAAGCTGCATTTTTTTAGGATTCCAGGTGATCCGTATGCACGTTAAAGTGTGAGAAGCACTGTTCTATAGTATAGCACTTAAAAAAAAAAAAAATTATTGGCTGGGCGCAGTAGCTCATGCCTGTAATCCCAGCACTTTGGGAGGCCAAGGCAGGCAGATCATGAGTTCAAGAGATCAAGACATTGTGGACAACATAGTGAAACGCTGTCTCTACTGAAAATGCAAAAATTAGCTGAGTATGTTGGTGCGCACCTGTAGTCCCAGCTATTCGGGAGGCTGAGGCAGGAGAATTGCTTGAACCCAGGAGGCGAAGGTTGCAGTGAGCCAAGATCACACCACTGCACTCCAGCCTGGGTGACAGAGCGAGACTTTGTCTCCAAAAAAAAAAATTTTACTGCCATTTTGCAGGGAAAATAATATTTACAAGGATCAAGCAAACTTTTTGATCAGAGAAGGCAAAGTAGTATTGTGGGATGTCACCCACTGATTGACAGTCACTCTTGGCAATGCAGAATTGAGAATTCTGAGGTTGCTTCCTGTCTCAAAAAAAAAAAGGGTGTGATGACTAGTCATATCTTCCCTGAGTTCAGAAGGAGAGAAATCCTGAATGCATAGTATATTCTGTCATTTTGGCTTTAGAAATCATTAAAACTGAATTGCAGAAATGTTGCCAAAGACTTTTTTTTAGAGTCTCTGACTACCTGCAGTGTCATTGCCCCACTCCCACCCCTTCTTTTGAGTAAATTACTTTAGGGGTGAACCATAAATTTAGCATCAGCTAAGTATTACACCATTTTAATGGTGCAAAAACTTCATCAATTACTGTGAAAATAATATCAAGGACATTCAAATTATAAAATACTCTGAAGTTAGAATAAAGGCAGCTGAACTGGCATTTTCCTCAACACAGTATAATGCCCGAGCATCCCCTACACTCAGCAGTAGTCAATAAATATCTGAATTAATCCCCAAAGTCGCTGCAAGTTGTAAACAATCCCTAATCCTGCTTTTATTTTCAACTACCTCAGAAAAAAAGAATGAAATTATGCATGTGACATCTCTGTAGACCATCAGGTTCTACCTAATTACAAACACACCTTCCAGTGTCTGCAGAAATTGAGAGTTAATTAAAATACAGTTTAAAATATGAAAATCTGTTACCTGTAGATCTCTGCCCAAACTCATGCCTAAACTCCTTTTGCTAAAAATAATGATTTACAGCCACCTCTTTATCCTGAATTAGCCTGCTGAGTTTCAAAAAGGGTACTTCAACAGGAATATAAAAGAGACTTCTTAAAATTCTGTTCATGATGATCTCACAGGAAAAACAAAGGATAACAAATGCCAAGTTATTAATAAAGTCTAGGAGAGGAGGGAAAAGTAATAACCATGGACTGGTCAAGAATGTCTTAGTTGCTACTGTTACTGCTAAACTTTTCTTCATGAGAGAAGAGGAAGCAAGGGGCAAGTCTAGCCCCTCAAAAGTGGATTTCGTGTCTAACATGCATTTGGATCACGTGGGCAGGTGCAGAGGCCTCAGCTTCTCCTAGCAGGTCTGTGAAAACACCAAGCCACATGCCTGGTGGTAGGAAAGATAACTGCTGCTGTGCTGAGATGCCGCCAAGCACCTTGGCTTCCCCTTTTGAACAAGAAACCGAAGATAGGCCGGGCGCGGTGGCTCACGCCTGTAATCCCAGCACTTTGGGAGGCCGAGGCAGGTGGATCACAAGGTCAAGAGATCGAGACCATCCTGGTCAACATGGTGAAACCCCGTCTCTACTAAAAATACAAAAAATTAGCTGGGCATGATGGTGCATGCCTGTAATCCCAGCGACTCAGGAGGCTGAGGCAGGAGAATTGCCTGAACCCAGGAGGCAGAGGTTGCGGTGAGCCGAGATCACGCCATTGCACTCCAGCCTGGGTAACAAGAGCGAAACTCTGTCTCAAAAAAAAAAAAAAAGAAACTGAAGATAGGGCCCAGTAGGGTTCAAAACCATGGTCCAAAGAGGTTATTAATGTCATGTAAGTCATCAGAGACAGAAAGAAAAAAAGATATTTCCATGCTTAAGGAGCTTGGGGAACTTGAGAGTGAGAAGGGAATTTTTGGTCGAGAACCCTCCTGGATTCCAGCAGAATCACGATGATGGCTCCCCTACTGCTTCTACTCCCCATCCCCAGCTTTTGAAGCAAGCCTGGACTGCCATCGGTGACAGAGGCCTCACTCTAGGAGATTAACAGGAGCTCTCTCCTTTCACTGTTTCACCAGTTATGACCTGAAGAAAACTCTTGGTTTTTTTCTAATGTCATTTATCTCTCATGCTGGAAAGAGAGAAACCAGTCCTTCTGTATTTAATTTGAATCTAGATTTTTTTTCCTCCTCGGAGGGGAAATGTCTTTTCTGGACATAATCTAGTCATCACTCAGTAATCCATTTGTTATTTACCCACTTGATAGACTTCTCAAACAACGTTTTTAACTCCAGGATGACTTCCCTTTTGTGAGGAAGCAGCTACTTCATTTATCAATTGTTCTTTGCTTAAAGGACAAAAATTAATATGAGCCTCACCCAAAATCTATTATGATGATGACTTCCTAACAAGACCCATACTCACCCTTTCTACTATTCTTTCTCTACCCTGCTGATAAAACACACACAGCATTCTAAAGACAAATACAGATTTTAAATTATTCTACTTGGAATTATCACTGTTACCAACTTCCTTCTGTGGAACACATACATGCTCCCTATAAAAGACCATCTTTCCAGTGAACAGTGATTTCTGGGTTGTTTTTTTTTTTTTTTTTTTTTTTTTTTTTTTTTCCAGCCCAGGGGCCACATAATACAGAACATGTCTAAATATATTTTAGAAAATATTCTGAGTAGAAAAAGATTGAACACTGTAGCCATTCTGTTCTTATGCTGGGCCACAGTATTTTGCTGGTTTTCGGCATTGATGATGATTCTCTCCCCACTTGAAACACCATTTATTGCTGAAAGGCCTGGTTTGAACAAACGGCTATTAGCAAAAATATTTTCCCCAAAAGTTTCTGAATCACTTACCAGATTGAAACCTTTTAGCTGGAGGACTTTTTCTGGATTTTCATTTTGAAAGTACCTTATGGATGATTGTAAATGCATGAAGCAATTCCCTGAGTAAAGCAGTTACCAAGCTGTAAACTATTCCAAGGCCAAGTTCACCCCAAATCAAGCAAAGGAAGCTCATTAGCTGAAGGGTAGAAAAATGACTTTGCACTGACAAATAAAAACAAAAATGAAAAAAGATGGTCTTGCACATTTCCCTGTCTTGATTTGGTCTCCAAGAATAAATGAATACCTAGTAACTTAGTAACAACTACGATAACTTCGCTTAGTCAATGTTTGCAGTTTTTAGAGTTCTTTTTGAAATTCTGGTCCAATGAAACATTTATAAACTCAAGCACATACTATTATGAACTCTTTCAAAATTAAATTGGCTTCTCATTCAACTTCTGGGTTGGTTTGTTCCTCAGTTTACCAGAAATAGAAAACCTAATCTTTCTTCTGCTTAAAAATCCATAGAATAAAATAGTGCAATTGCCGTGGAAAACAATTTGACAGTTTTCTAAAAAGTTAAACATAGGCTGGGCATGGTGGCTCACACCTGTAATCCCAGAACTTTGGGAGGCCAAGGGGAGGATCACCTGAGGCCAGGAGTTTGAAACCAGCCTCAGCAACATAGCAAGACCCACCTCTATGGAAAAACAAGTTAAACATAAATCCATACAAGTCAGCAATTCCACTCCTAGATATCTACTCAAGAGAAATAAAAATACAAAGTTCACACAAAGACTTGTACAAAAGCAACATTATTGAGAAGAGCCGAAAAGCAGAAAGCCATCTAAATGTTCATCAAATGTTGAATGGATAAACAAAATGAGCATATCCATAAATGAGCTACTGTTCAGCAACAGGAATAAATACTAATACATGCTACAACTAATACAGGCTAATGTATATACTAATACATGCTACAACTAATACATGCTAAAATACTAAGACACGCTACAACTAATACATGAATGATCCTTAAAACAGTATGCTAAGAATCCAGACACAAAAGGCAACATATTGTATGATTTCATTTAAATGGAATGTCCAGAAAAGGCAAATCTTCAGAAACAGAAATTGGATTAATGGTTGCCTGGGGCTGGAAAGAGGGACTGAAACAAACTGCATGCAGGATGTGGGGTTAATGGAAATGTTCCAAAACTTTGGAAATGTTGATGGTTGTGAAACTTCACACATTTACTAAAAGTCACCTAATGGTACAATTAAAATAGATGAATTTTATGGTATGTAGATTATAACCCAACAAAGCAATTTAAAACACACATACACAAACATAGACACACAGAGATTCCCCATAATGCAGAGAATAAAGTCCAAAATCTCTAGCATGGCATGAAGACCATCTCTAGTCCGCTTCACCATTTCTGGTCCAATGACCTTCATTTCCCCCAGCATAGTGATGCAACAGCTTTTCCTCCTCCCCAGAACATGTGGAGCTGTTCACACTTCTGTGCTTTTTTTTCACGCCTTAAAATCCACAGCCCCGTCACCAGCCAGTGAACTTGTCATCCTTCAAGACTCAAATGGTAAATTAAACTCCTCTGAAGCGTTGTCTAAGCTGTCTCCATCAAAATGAATTTCTTCCTCATTTGTGGTCCCATGGAATCTTTTATATGTATGTATACCATTTTTTTGCATTATAATTTTTTGTACAGTGCCACCTCCTCTGTGTTTTGCTCATCTTTTATTTTTTGAATGCCTCGTTTTTGTCGAACATTTAGTCTTTGCAATGCAGTTTTTATGTATTCTAGTCTTCACAACAATTCTCTAGGTGAGGTATGACTGCCTCCATTATCCAAATGAAGAAACTGAGACTCTGGCTGGGCGCAGTGGCTCACGCTTGTAATCCCAGCACTTCTGGGAGGCCGAGGTGGGCAGATCACCTGAGGTCAGGAGTTCGAGACCAGCCTGGCCAACACAGTGAAAACATGTCTCAATTAAAAATACAAAAATTAGCTGGGCATGGTGGCAGGCGCCTGTAATCCCAGCTACTCAGGAGGCTGAGGCAGGAGAATTGCTTGAACTCAGGAGGCAAATATTGCAGTGAGTCGAGATCCAGCCACTGCACTCCAGCCTGGGTGACAGAACGAGACTCTGTCTCAAAAAAAAAAAAAAAAAAAACACGACCTGCCCATGATCACCTCCATCTCAAAAAAAAAAAAAAAAAAAGAAACAAACAAACAAATGCTGTCTGCATATCTGCACAGTAACAGGCATTGTACTGGTTGAATTTAAGTATTCACAGGCACTGTCTCCTAACTGGCCTCCTCCCTTGCATTCCATAGGTTGCCAGGTGAACTTCCTTGAAGCACAGTCAGCCAGTTCTAATTGTGTCATTATGTAAGCTTTTTTGTTTGTTCGTTTTCCAGCATTCCATTTCTTATGCAATAAAGTCAAACTTCCTTAGTCTGGCTTATAAAGTCTTCTGTGTTCTGGCTTCAACCAGTTTTTTCAACCCGTTTTCCTCTACAGCTCTTCAGAGACCTTGCAGTCCAGGCAAAAGAAACTACCTATAGCATATTTTTTACATTAACATAATTTCTAACAATATTCTAAATCATTCTAAAATATCTACTGGGCACAGTGGCTCACGTCTGTAATCTCAAGCACTTAGGGAGGCCAAAGTGGGCAGATCACTTGAGGTCAGGAGTTTGAGACCACCCTGTCCAACATGGTTAAGCCCCATCTCTACTAAAAAAATACAAAAATTAGCCAAGTGTGGTGGTGTGCACTTGTAGTCCCAGCTACCAGGGAGATTGAGGCAAGAGAATTGTTTGAATCCAGGAGGCACAGGTTGTAGTGAGCTGAGATTGCACCACTGCATTCCAGTCTGGGAGACTCTGTCTTAAAACAAAAAATAAAATGTAGAATATGCTTTCCTAGTAGTACACACTAGATTCTATTTATGCAATAGGTTTATACAGTTCCTTGCATTAAACAAAAATTATAAGAGGCCATTGTTTTCAACTTCTGCACTAGACCCCAACAGACAAGACTAAAATCAAAATGGAGTCACCCATGCTCAGCAAACCAAAACCGAAGTATCTGGCCCTCCAAGAAATCAGGAGACAGAGATAACAGGACAGTTTCAATCTTCAATCCGCAAAATAATGAAGTTTCCTCTGTTTTAGTCCTTACAGCAAAGGGTAACTTGAAGTAACCTGATGTTAACCAGTCCGTTATCTTTCTATTGTTCTGTTTCCACCTTACCAGGAAAGTAATTCTGAAATAATCAATCTGCTTTTTGTTCTTTGTTACTGCTTTCTTCAGCCCTTTCTTCTGTAGGTAAAGCCAGCCTCCTCTGTTCTAACTCATTGGGACTCTCATTCCATTTTATGGAATGAAGTGTTGCCTGATTCTAGAATCGCAATAAAGGCAATTGAAATATTTAGATGTGTCAAATTTTTGTCCGTTGACACTTGTGCTGGTCTGTCTAGAATGCCGTTTCTCTTCATTCCACATACCCACATTCTTCAAATGAGCCCACGTGGCAGGGGGTCAGTGCAGTAACTGACATGTAAGTACTCAATACTATTCAAAGCTGCGTTTTGCCCCTCACACTAGCTATTCCTCTCCCTCTAACCTCAATCTTTTCTATACACCTTTCTTATGTAACGTTCTATTGTATTTATTGTATTACAATAATTATAATTAATAATTATTGTATTCTATTACTTGCTATTGTATTTAATGCCAATGTCTTACATCCCCAGAGATCCAAAGCACTGGAAAAATCAGTATTCAGTCTCAGTCCTATGTGTACCCAGCACCAAGCACAAAGTAATCTGTTTACGGTCAATAAATCTTTCCATAATGCATGAGAATAAAACAACTAGTGTTTGAACCAGAATGGTCTCTGGTAGAAACTGACAGCTAAAACTGGACAGGGAGCGGAGCAGAGGTAAAAGAGCACTTCATGAGGCCCTACTATGTGCCAGGTACCATGCGGAGCACAGGTTCATCTTTTGTTTCATTCATCCTTTCCAAAAAACTGTATGAAGCAGTAGTAACAATTTCATCTCCATTTTACAGATGCGGAGTCTGGATTAGGGAGGTCAGTATACTTGGCTAAGGCCACAACCAAATATGTTCTGGTCTTTCCAGTATTGCACTTGTCGTTTGTCCTTCCAATCTGTCAATCTCCTCCTCTCCCACACAAAAGTCGAGGACTTTCTAGGAAAACACGCAGCCTGCAACCACTATTCGCCTGGGGAGCCCTGTCTCGCCCTTCGCTTTCAGAACCACAAGGAGCGCGCGCGGCTGGGAGGCGAGGAGCCGAGCGGCCGTCAAGACGCAAGGCACCGCCCACTACACCGCGGGTGACGTCATCACGCAGGGCCGAGGCGGCTCAGCCACGTTCTTTAAATATGGCTTTTCCCCGGCGCGCGCGACTCCGTGAGGAGTGGGGTGGAGCGCGTGTGGCGTGTGGCTGCGGCCTGGGCAAGAGCCGCCGCGGACCATGAGGTGGGCGGAAAGGCTGCGCTGCAGCCCAGACGCTGCTGGGAGGGTGCTGCCGGGTCAGCTGGGTTGCTCATGCGGGGTCGGGAGGAGGAAACATGGCGACCGGGCCAGGACTCTGCTCCTGGCTCTGCGCGGCTCCTACCCCTGCTTTGCTCGCCCTTTTGCCTGCCTTTCTGGAACCCTTGTTTCCCCTCTCCCTGCGTCCCCTTTCCCTCAGCCCTTCATTTTGCCTTCATCGACTCTTCCTCCCACCTCACGCCCCAGCTCCACACTGGGTCGAAGTGTGAGAGGTAGATTGAGGGGGAGCCGGTAGGGCCCATCCGGTGCCGAGAGACCGTCTCCTAAATTTGTTTAGGTTCTCGCATGTCACTTTATCAGTCTGCCTGGGGTCGCAGAAGTAATACTGAACATGAAGAGATCAAGCCTGATTTGTAGTCCTGATGATGTCCTTAAGTGATCTAGTGAAATGTCACTTAAGTTGACGACCTCAGTCTCCTCAAATGTGAGGTCCTCTGTGAAAGGCCTAAGATTCCTGATCCGAGGTAGCTTTTGTCATGCAGTGCCTGCCAGAATCTGCCCCATAACCAAGCATCGTCAGGAAAAGAAAAGCAAGATTTATTTTGGCAGTAAGGGAGTGGAGAACTGAGTTGACTTCCAGTTCCATGCCATCAAGTGGCCTAGTATGTGAGCAATGAGAACACCATTCTGTTTCAGCTCTTATTTCCATAGTGAGTGACCTAAGAGTAACACTCCCGGCGTAGATTAAATGGAAACGGACTCATCGTCATTGATGCTCTGCCCTCTGCCTCAAAGAACCTGGGGAACATTCATCTGTTTGCTGTATTCTGTTTTAGATGCCACAGTCTGTTGAGGGTAGATGTTTAGGGGGAGATTCGTCCTCATCTAACAGCACCTGGCCTAGCCAATCACTTACTTTTGATCTTGGCCTTTTGTTTTTCCTCAGTTGAGTAAATTCGGGAGGGATCCTGTTTCTATTGAAGCCGTTGCACCCAGGAAGCTGTGAACTGTGAACCAGAGTGAAGCAGAAATCTAGGAAGATGAGCTCCAAGATGGTCATAAGTGAACCAGGACTGAATTGGTGAGTTGTAGCCATTTTGTAATCCACTGAAGAGGAGTATAGTGGGGCCAATGGTTGACATAAGAAAATAGATTTCCGACATAGAGAGATTTGGAGGAAACAGAAGATACAAGTTTAGGGTCTCAGAATTTACCCTACCATCTACACGTACTAAACGCTTGAATTAGACTGACTCCACTTCCACTCCTATCGTGGAACAGCAGTTCAGCACTCAAAATTGTTTTTAGGTATGTGTTGGTCTCCTGTGAAGGAGAGATACTGGAATTTTCTTGTGTCCAAGAACCTTGCCATTTCCATAAAAGTAATAAAAAAGACTCTCTTTAAGAATAGACATGCTGTTACGTTGAAATGTGTGTCAAATGATAATATAAATGCGTAGACCGTATTTTAGAAGTGTATGAAGACTTTGCAAATATCCGGTTAAATAATATAATAGCTAACACATGTGCTGCCTTAGTTCATTTTAACTCACTTTCTCTGAGCCAGCCAAGGAGGATCAAAAGTTACAAATGGTTACAAAGAGTATTAAAGTAGCACCTGACTCAGAATATTAAGTCAGGATGTTATTAAGTATTTGTTTATTGCAAACAACACTCCCATCCCCAAGGAGTTCACAGCCCCTGAGTCCCTTGACTTAGTTTTTATATGATATGCAGAAACTTAAAAATTTATTGAGATGTCACAGATGTAATACCACAGCAAGGTAGTAAGAAACTATAGTGGTACATAGCAAATAAGGCATTCTAATTTTACCATTTCATTAATACCTTAATTGTAGTTTTTTGGATAAATGCCTTTAAGACAGTTAAAAAGAGAAGAGAGTATGGAGCAAATATGCTAGAATTTCCTATCTGGACAGTAGGCTAGCCAGAAGTTGCGATTTGATTAGATAAGAGATGTGAACCTTTGCATTCCTTGCCAGTGCTATAAAGTGTGTGTTCAGATGTAGCACAGATGCTCTTATACACCACTGGCATTGTGGAACCAAATGTTGTTTAGAACTTTTGCACAATATTGTAGCCATGGAATTATCCTTTTCCACAGAATTTTACTGACCTTTGTCCTCCCTGGATTAATGGATTCACTGTTTTAAAATGTTTAACTTCATTAAAACAGCATTTTTGGATGCCTAACTGTATGAAAAGCTTTGAATATTGTGTGTGAGTCTCTAAATGAATTATGGTATTACAAGTAATCATATCACCTTTGAGGTGCTTTTTGCAAACCAGTTATCCCATTTGCCATAGTAAACAAAATAGGATATTTAGTCTTTGTAGTGTCTTTTGGCTTAGGACAATGGTACATGAAACAAAAATGAGTTGAGAGGTGTTTTCAGCAACCAAGTATCTTAATGTTATGTCCTAGAGCCAGAAGTGAGGCCAGCCTTTGACAGACCTGTGATTATACTTCAGTCTTTTCTGTCTTTAACTCTCCAGCTCTGTGACATTTATTTAATTAGGTACTAAAGAAAATGCAAGGCTGATTATTGGAGCTGGAGAATTCCATCATAGGCCTGGGTTTAAGGGTATTCAGGAAGTAACACTTATAAGTCCACAGATCTTGTATATGAAATTAAACATAGTAAGAAGAGATTGTCTGGGGGTCGGGGGGTAGGAAGGTATGAAATTATAAGTTAAAATTGTGCCATTATGCGTCTTAGCCTAGCATGAGATTTTGAATTGTCAGATATAAGTAAATTACTTTGTTTCACAGGGATATTTCCCCCAAAAATGGCCTTAAGACATTTTTCTCACGAGAAAATTATAAAGATCATTCCATGGCTCCAAGTTTAAAAGAACTATGTGTTTTATCCAACAGGTAATATGTTTACTTGGTTATTTCCATATTTAATTGTTGCTTTTCTTATAGTTGAAGTTTTATATGTATCTCTAGTATTAAACATTCAAATTATAGAAATGGTAAAACTAAAACAACTTGTAACACTTTGGTATTTATCTTTTCAGACTTTCAATTCTTTCTCCACACCGGAACTGCAAAACAGTTTTATAGTGTTTTCTAATACTATACTAAACCATTTATCCCAATAATTTTCATACTACTGTACTAATAATATAGTATAATACTGTACTAACATTTATACCAATAAATGGTTTAGTATAGTACCAATATTATGCTAGTAATTATTTAGAATAGTAGTAAATAGTATACTACTTATATACACACACACGTATATAATACAAAATGGGATTATACTAAAAATATTATAAAACTGTTTTTGTAGTTATCTGTCATTTTAAGTGATATTTTGAATATCTTTCCATGCCCCAACATATAAGTCAATCTTAATGGTTGTATATTACCTCACTGTATAGATTATAGATGTGCTTTTCATTCGTTCAGTTAGTCCTGTGTTGCAAAACATTGTGTTCTGGTTTTTGGATGTTTTTTGTAATTAAAAACAATGTATTGGTGAATTTTTATAGTTATTTCTATAAGATACACTCAGAGAAATTGAATTGTTCAGTCAGACAGTGTGTATGTTTTATATTTTAAAAGATATTGCCAAATTCCTAAAGATTTTTTTTTCTCTCTGATATTTAATGACTAAAAAGTGATAATTTGTACTTCTTACTGCTCACCTGTCTGTAATAGCTCCTCTTTTCTTTTTGATAGACTATTTCTACTCCATTGTTGATGAATCCGAAAACCAAGTAATTGAGTTTACTAGAAAAATGTATCAATATACAAAGGAGGAATCAGGAAACTCCCCCAGGGGCGCAACATTTACTTTCTTCCATTCTCCTTTTACAGTGGAGGGCGTATTTCCCCATCTTTTCCTACCTTCTCAGTTTACTTTTCTGTCAGTTATCCCCTCTTAGCCCTCTATCTTTGTTCTCTCCCATTTTCCATCATCTTGATCACTTTTTGATTTTGTTGTTTGTTTGTTTTTTAAGAGACATAGTCCTGCTATGTTCCCCAGGGTGATCTTGAATTCCTAGCCTCAAGTGATTCTCCAGTTTGGTCTCCCAAAGTGCTGGGGTTGCAGGCAGGAGCCACTCTTCCTGGTCAACTTAATCAGTATTTGAACATGCTTAACTTTCCCTGTTTTAAATAATCTCTGGACTCCACATTTGCTCCCAATTACTTTTCTTCTTCTCTCATTTATATTTAGACGACTTTAAAGACTTGTATATGCTCACTGAGAAGAAATGCGGAACAAAAAAGCTGTAAGACATATCGAAAACAATTAACAAAATAGTAATAGTAAGTCTTTCCCTATCAATAATTACTTTAAATGTAAACTGATTAAACTCTTCAATCAAAGGATAGATTGGCAGAATGGATTTAAAAACAGGACTAAAAACTTTTCGTTTACTGCACATCCTACTGCACTTGCTGGCATTACAGGAGTGAGCCACCACATCGGGCCCGTAGCTGTATTATATTCTATTGTTGGTTGTTGGTTCTATTGTTATTTTTAAATTGTCCTCTGTTGATATTTAGCTTGTTTCCATTCCTTTACTGTTAGAAACAGTAAGCATCCTTTTTACATGTACTTGTATGAGTAGGACAAACTTCCGTCATTGAAGGGTATGTATATATATTTATTTTGATAGATACTGCCAGATTGGCATTAAAAGCAGTAAGGAAAAAAGCGCTTTTTTGATGCCATCAAATGAATGCATAAATTTACATAAAAACAAGCAGGAGTTATATTAAAGAGACAATTTTAGCCCAGATTCAGTGCTTCACACCTATAATCCCAGCATGTTGTAAGGCTAAGGCAGGAAGATCACTTGAGTCCTGAATTTGAGACCAGTCTGGACAACAAATTGAGACCCCATGTCCCCAGATATAGTTAGCTTCATGTGGTGGCACATGCCTGTAGTCCTAGTTAATCAGGAGGCTGAGGGCTGAGGCACGAGGATCACTTGAACCCAGGAATTTGAGACTGCAGTGAGCTCTGATTGTGCCACTGTACTCCTGCCTGGGCAACAAAGTGAGATCCTGTTTACAAAAAAAAGAGAAAATTTTTTTAAAAATAAATGTTTTAAAGGGGAAATTTCAGAAGCAACTTTACTCTTGCCAAAGTGCATAGTTAGAATGTCTGTGCTAATGTCAGATGTACAACGTTAAGGTAAAAGACTCCTTTATGTATGTAAATTTGTGGATATTTTTAAAAACTATTTGTTATTCAACTTGTACGGGTTTTTTGAGGATAACTGATTTTTTAAAACTTACTATTAATTAAGTAAAGAATTGCCTTTATTTATTTGGATCAAAAAAGACGCCTACCATTTCTATTTTCCTGGGATTTAGAGAACATGTATCTTTATCTTTAAAAAAATAAAAATTGCGATTTCCGTCTCTGGGATCCCCTCCCACAACAGCGTGGGAGCTCACTCTACTTCTTTCTCTCTCTCTGCCTAATAAATCACTCTGTGAAAAAAAAAAAAAAAAAAATTCCTGCTCATAAATGAGAAGGAATGAATTATCAAATTACCACCAATTTGGAAACCATTTAAGAAAATAATGGGTCTAGGGTAATGATCACCAATTGCTGCTGTTGTAACATGACAGAAAAGAAAATACCAACTAATATGTGCCTCCAGTAGGAGCACAGCACCTCAGAAGTATTCTTTCCAAAAACCTGGATCTGAATCAGAACTACCTGGAATCCCAGCACTTTGGGAGGCTGAGGCAGGTGGATCACCTGAGGTCAGGAGTAAGAGACCAGCCTGATCAATATGATGAAATCGCGTCTTAATAAGTAAGTAAATAAATAAAGCCAAAACAACTATCACTTTACAAACAATATAAAGAACAAAGACTCAAAGACCACCAGGGAAAAGCAATCAGAAAAACCCAAGTGTGGGGAAGGAATGCTGCATGACAACCCGACAAACATGGGGGGATGGGGCCTGTAATAAAGGGGACCCTCTAGATGATCACTAATATAGCATCCACTCACTACACTTGAAATGTTTAAGTATATCAAAGCACCATATATACCGTTTTTCTCTTAAAAAAAAAAAAAAAATTAAATGTGGAAATGTGTAAGTGTAAAACTCACACTGGATTTTGACAGGTTCATAGGAATTTTTTTCATTATTCAAGATTATGGAGGCTGGGCGCGGTGGCTCACGCCTGTAATCCTAACACTTTGGGAGGCCGAGGTGGGTGGATCACTTGAGATCAGGAGTTCAAGACCAGCCTGGCCATCAGGGTGAAACCCCATCTTTATATATATCAAAAAACAAAACAAAACAAAACAAACAAAAAAAACATAGAGAAATGAAAAAAGTGTTTTAAAACTTCTTACATGCAAAATGCTACTGTAGATATATATTAGGTTAAATTATTAATACAATGAATCATGTTTCCTTTCACCACTAGAGAACGTAATTTTATATTTATAGCTCATGTTATATTTCTATTGGACAGTGCTGCTTTGAATTTAAAAAGTTGTCTACAAAATATAAGGTGTGACTTTGTATCCTGACTCAAACCAAAGCTGTTTTAAAATATGTGGCCGGGCTCTCACGCCTGTAATCTCAGCACTTTGAGAGCAGGGCGGGCAAATCACCTGAGGTCAGGAGTTTGAGACCAGCCTGAACATGGTGAAACCCCTTCTCTAGTAAACATACAAAAATTAGCCAGGTGTGGTGGCAGGCACCTGTAATCCCAGCTACTTGGAAGGCTAAGGCAGGAGAATCGCTTGAACTTGAACCCCGGGCGGTGGAGGCTGCAGAGAGCGGAGATGGCGCCATTGCATTCCAGCATGGGTAACAAGAGGCAAACTTGGTCTCAAAAAAATAAATAAATAAAAGAAAATTAAGAGACATTTAAACTCTGGATATTTGATATTTTGGAATGTATTTTTAGGTATGGTAACACTATCACGGCTAGGTTTTAAAAGTTCTTAGAAATACTGGGTGTTTATTAATAAAATCTTTTTGGTCTGGGATTTGCACTAAAACAAGTGAGGGTGAGCTCATTTCTCCCTCTGCCTACCTTGTTGCCCTCCACAAGAATCATAGCTCAGGGCAACTAAGACAGGGCAGGGGCCCTGGCAGAGGAGGGCTGTCCCGGTCCAACTTGGGACCCAGTCCTGATTGTGTCCCTGGGCACGTGACTTCCCCCAACTTCCATTTTCTCATCTGAAACATGGAGCTAATAGCAACCCCTTTTACAGTGGTCCTGAGCAGGTAATTAGAAAATGAAGGACCTAATAGGAGTCAACTAACGTGGTTCTTCCGAAGAGCAGAGACCAGACCTCGGTGGGGAAGAGGGAATTATAAGTCACCTCCACAGAAAGGGCACCCCCGCTGTTACCTACCCCCAATAGGCTCTCATTTGCCTCCAGGCTTTCCAAGCTTCTGGTCAAGTGGGAGAAGTAACTTTCTATTTACTCAGTGTTTTCCCTTAAATTAGTTCCAATTTTTATCTGAATAATAAAGCTTTGTAACACTACCCTTAACTGAAAACTTAGCCAGTTTACAAAAAAGTGGCCGGGCATGATGGCTCATGCCTGTAATCCCAGCACTTTCGGAGGCCGAGGCAGGAGACTGGCCTAGGTATCCCATCTCTACCCCCCCAAAAAAGACGTTAAATCAGAAAATAAACCATAACATGTAAATACAATTTTTTTTGCATGCCTATAATCCCAACACTTTGGTAGGGAAGAATCCCTTGAACACAAAAGTTTGAAAATCAACCTGGGCAACATAAGGAGACACCATCTCTACCAAAAATACAAAAAT